TCCCCTGATTTTTGAATGCAGCTTGAGTTAACGGAAGTCCTTCCACCCCACATTTCCACTAATGTAAACCAACCTGTTTTCTTTTTCTATAGAATTATTAGCATAAAATCTTTTAAGTATCAATGCAAAATTGGAGATTTAAGGCATCGTTTTCTGATGTATTCCTTATGTTTTGAAGTTAATGTGTGATAAAAGCCAGAAATATTATAATTTCTTTATGAAAAGTATGCAATTTAATAAGTATGGATGAGACCATGATGTTGAACTAATATAAATATGTCCCATAAGTTCTAGGTAGTTTGTAGGCTATGCAATGTTTGTACTATACTAAGTATATTCAGTTAAATGCAAAAATACAACCAAGAGAATTTTAAATGAAAAGAAATAAAAACAGAAGTATATGAAGTTTGCAAAGTGATAATTAAAGAGTAGTATTTCCTGATTGCAGACAGTATACAATGCAACATAAACAGAAAGTGGTTAGATAATGGCTTTGAATATGAACAAAGAAGTGAATGCAAATATAAAACTTATCCTAACATAGCATGATTCACATAATTCCAAAGAAGCACATTTTCTCAGTGTTACCATGCAAAGTTCTGTATGCCATCTTGCTCTATAAAATATATTGTTGTTATTCCATCTTCATACTTATTTGCAGTACTGTTTATTGTAGAAAGAAAACAGAAAGCAAATCCTAAACAAATATGAAACATTTAGGGAAAAAACCTCAGTTTTATTTTGGATATCATTTATAATATTTGAAGAAAAAAATGCTAATACTGTGAAGTAAAAAGGTGTTACTTTTTGTTTATCTTTTCCAAAGAGCTTTCTTCACATTTGTATACCTCACAAAACTAAACTTTAATAGTAATATTAACTGTGGCATACTACAATAATTCTGACTCTCAAAGCAAGCTTAAGAATCAATTATGGCCTAAACATTTATTTAAATATGTGTGGCTAGAAATGGTGGCTCACACCTGTAATCCTAGCACTTTGGAGGGCAAGGTGAGAGGATCACTTGAGGCCAGAAGTCTGAGACCAGCCTGGGTAATATAGCAAGACACATCCCCTCCATCTCTACAAATTTTTTTTTTTTCACTTACCAGGCATGGCGATGTTCACCGGTAGTCCTAACTACACAGGCGGCTGAGGCAGGAAGATCATTGAGCTCAGGACTTCAAGCTTACAATGAGCCACAATGGTGCCACTGCACTCAGCCTGGGTGACAGAGTGAGACCCTGTCACTAAATAAATAAATAAGTATGTGTAAGTATTGAAAAAACTTACTTTGCTTATAGCAATTATTTGCTGTTATTTGAAGAGTACTTTAAAAATGATGATAAAATAATAGTAATAATAATAATAATGATAAAGATTTTTTAGTACCTTTATTTCTTTGGTAACTATAAAGTACATCCTCATTTAAGGAGGCCGAGGCGGGTGGATCATGAGGTCATCCTGGCTAACACGGTGAAACCCCATCTCTACTAAAAATTCAGAAAATTAGCCGGGCGTCGTGGCGGGCGCCTGTGGTCCCAGCCACTCGGGAGGCTGAGGCAGGAGCTTGCAGTGAGCCGAGATCACGCCACTGCACTTCCAAAAAACAAAAAAACAAAAGTACATCCACATTTAAGGAAGTAACACATTAACATTTCCAGGAAGGACATATGACATTATTCTTTCAGGTCTCCCTCAAAGTCAATTGGAGTTACATATTTTTACAAAATGTGTAAAATAAAATATTTTTTACTGCACATGATTGCCTTTTCTTTCCAAGAGTAAATCAATGAAATCTGATTATTAGCCAAAGTGATAGAGTGCTTTCTGTCAAGCCGCTGTCACAGATTCACACTGGGAATTAGGGAACACACAGAGTTAGCAAGTAAGAAAACAATCAACTGCCTACCTGTGTTCAATATTTTCATAGGATATTTTGAAATAGGGGAGGCCAGAAGAAATTGGAGGAATATTACGGTTTACTTTGACCTAGGATTTTAAAATATCTGAGGAAAAGAATACTTATTTTGGATTGAATAATAATTGTAATTTTATATAACCAACTATGCACCTTCTGTGTGTATGTGTGTGTATGTGTGTGTGTGTATGTGTATGTGTGTGTGTTTGTGTTTCTTCATATAGTTGAATAATCACTGCCCTTACTTTTAGGTAGCCTATAGGTATTTTCATAATTTAATGTTAAGACATAGCTTTCAAAATCTACTTTTACTGGAATTTATCCTTGATTTCTGGGAAAAAAAAAAAAGCTATTCTTTACAGTAATCAAAGTCAGGTTGTTGTGCCTGTATCAATTTATATCTTTTGAGATCCACTGTTGGATTGGTAAGTCTTGTACACACAATCATTGTTTTAGAAAATGGTGGGATATCTTCTTGAGAATGTCATTCTGTAGTGACGAACTTAAAGTTTAATGATGTTTTCTTTTGACTCTTCTTCCAATCTGTCCTTCAATTCTCCATTTCTATTAACCTAGCACCTTGGGTGTTATAATTGCCATGAAAAAGATAGTTGAGGAAAAGACCACTGTGCATGATTAAGATAGATATTAACATGGAAGAATAAGTGTCTCCCACAAAGTTTGAATATACCAACAGATGTTTTATTCATCAAATGACTAACCCTTAGTACGTGAAGATTTTTAGAAGTCAAGCCGAGGTTAACTGAGAATAGACTTTTAGACACAAGTTCTGTGAAGATAGTTCTTAAGCCCCAACTTTGCCAATTTTATCATCTTCCTCAGTATTTGTGATAATTGAGAATAAATTCTAGTCTACTGTTTATAAATCATTGACATAAAAAATGTACTCAGTGAATAAATTGGACCAACCATTATTATGCATTGTAATTTTTCTCCATGATTTAATATTTTTTTTTAGCTCCTATGGTATGCATTGTAATGATATAAATCAGCATTCCACTTACATGAGGCAGGCTTAATTTGACTCAATATCCATCTGTGGTAAACATTTACATTTTCAAATATACCCCAACATTTGAGAGGAGAAGACAAGAATAAAATTGTATATTGGACATATGCTGTATGTCCAAATATTTAAAAGATATAAAACCAGCTATTAAACTGGTAATTAAATTTGTTTCAATCCTCTTATTTTGTCAAATATACTTATTCAAAAAAGAATTTGTGCAAAGCTATTATTTTTATATATTGTAATTTGAGAAGATGTCAAAGACTACTGGGTTTGTTACTGCACATATGTGGATACCCTCTTGATAAGCCAGGTATGTTCAGTGAGTAGTAATATAAATGCATAAATTACTTATTCTAGAACATTTCAGCTCTAGTTATTTTGCTATAATCAAAATTTTTACATGATTTTTCTGTATTGACAGTAATGAGCTAAGATATTAAAAGTATCCACAAAATGTAAATTAAAGTAAATGTAAAACAGTAAAATTAATTGTCATATATGTTTTCAAAGAATATATCTCTTAAAATATTAAGTTTATTTATTAAACATTACAGGACAAATGCAAGTTTTAATTTATGTACACCAAAAGTTTTAAGAAAACTATTTGAATACTTTTCATGCCTGTAATCCCAACACTTGGGGAGGCTGAGGCAGGAGAATAACTTGGAGCCAGGAGTTCTTTACCAATCTGCAATGTAGTGAGACCCTCTACAAAAACAAAAATAAAAATAAAAATAAAGCAGCCAGGCATGGTTGTGTGCCACTGAAGTCGTAGCTACTCAGGAAGCTAAAGTGAGAAGATCACTAGAGCCCAGGAGTTTGAGGCTGGAGTGAGTTATGATCATGCCACTGCACTCCAGCCTGGAGATTCTTTTTATTTGTTTAAAAAATCAGTTGAAACAAACATTTTGTTAAAAAAATATTCTAGCATTCTGTACGCATTTAGTTGCCATTGTAAAGAATTGCTAGCATACCTTAGGCGTGTTATTTAACCAACATATATACGAATGTAAGAGTAAAAGTATCTTTAGAAGTATGAATTAGGAAATAAAAAGAAGAAAAGAAGAATAAAAATGATGTCTTCAACGCTATTGGGAAACCATACTTCATTATGCAAAAATCTACTGAATTCATGCTATCCTCTTTGGCAAGTTAATTCATTTTTCTTATCTCTTAATGCATCTGCCTCCCAAATCGTCTCTGCATTTTGAAGCAGTGTGTTTATATCTTCAATGTTGGTGCTACAGTTTGAATGTGCTTTCTCCAAAATTCGTGTGTTTAAACTTAATGGCCAATATGATGATGTTAAGAGGTGGGCCTTTAAGAAGTGTTTAGGCCTTGAGGGCTCCTCCATCCTGAATGGGAAGGGAGGCTTCGTGTGCTGCCTTCCACCAGGTGCAGACACAGCCTTCCTCCCTTCTGGAAGATGCAGCAAGGAGAATTTCACAAGACACCAAATGCTGGTGCCTTGGTCTAGGACTTCCGGCCTGCAGGACTGTAAGAAAATAAATTTCTGTTCCTTATAAATATCACAGTTTGTGGTATTTTGTTATGGAAGCACAAATAGACTAAATTAGAAGGCACTGGCACAGCCCATACATGTTTGAGCACTGCTGCCTTCTCTTTTGAGAACACAGAGCAAGAGAGGTGGTGAAGTGTTTCCCTGGGGCCTGGATGGTATTAGTAAAGAAAGCGCAAGTTTAGGGTGCTGGTGTAGCTCAGGTTTTAGAACTGAGCTCTGCATGTTGAGTGACATAGGCTCTCACGTTTTCTAACATGAATTATTTCTGTTGTTTGTTATATGCAGAATTCTTTAAAATACAGGACCCAAGGCAAGAGGCCTTGTTGTCCAAGTTTCAGGGTACGTTTTTTGTTTGTTGTTTGTTTGTTTTTACATATGGTATGGAGGGCTTAAGAAATCAGTTTGGGAATTCAATATGCAATCATATTTAGTCAAGACATATTTTAATGATGGATAGGTCAAAATCACTTAAACTTAAATTTCTGTAAAGGAGGAAAGAAAGCTTCAAGTTGCTTTGTAGTTACATATTAATTATCCCTTGATATCTGCAAGGCATTGGTTCCAGGACCCCTGTGGATAACAAAAGTTGCAAAAGCTCAAATCCCTTACATAAAATGTGTAACATTTGCATATAACTTGCACACATCTTCCTGTACATTTTAAATCATATCTAGATTACTTATCATTCTTAATACATCTAAATGCTACATAAGTAGTTGTTATAGTGTGTTTTAAAATTTGCATTATTTATTGCATTATTATTATTTTATTTTCTAAAAATATATTTGATCCATGGTTGGTTTAATAATCTTCAAATGTGGAACCCATGGATATGGAAGGCTGACTGGATATAATTTGCATTTTTAGGTATAATTTACACACTTTGGAGATAGATGGGGGTTTTGCAGAGAACCTAGACATTGATCATTAATACTTGCTGATCAATACCAATCAGTTACCTTCCCATTAGAAATGACACTATGTAATCTTGAGGAAATTCTTCTGAGAGAATTCCATAGGTTTTGCAAAATATTTTGTGAAGTCATGTTTCCATTTAATTATTGATAATTAACTTGATGCTCATTATAGTTATGAATTATAATTCTGCTGAGAAAAAAAATTTATGTAAGGGACAAGAAAGGGAAAGGAAGAAGAAAGTAACATTCTAGCAAGTCAAATGGCAAAAGTCTGGCAACATATAATATAAATCTGCCAAATACATCCTGCTGCTTTTCAATGTGGCCACCTGCCAAATAGCTCTGCATTGCATCCTCAATAGGTTTGACAAGAGGAAGTGAAAGGGACTGCACTGTAATGCTATGGCTCAATTAATAAACACTCATTCTGAAAACCTTTAATTGTTTAAATTGAGTATCCTGTCTGGTAGAATGTTCAGGCTTGTAGCTGAGCAAGATTAGTGCTAATTCTGATTAGGCATTTTAAAATACTTGTTTAAAGGACATCTCTTATTTATTAATTATGTGCTTAGCATCTATATTTTAGATAAATGGCAAAAAAAGTACAAGTCTTAGAGGGTTGAGTTAGTAATAAATAAAACATAAGAATAAACTCCTGTTCCACATTTAAAAATTTATGATTCTGGGTTTAAACCAAACTAATTTCTTAAGAGTAATGTTTCTTTCAGAGTCCAGTACATCTATTATTCCTTAAATCACTTTCATATATCGTTGCCCACGTGGGAAAAGTAAAACATTCTGCTTTTTAAATATTCCTAAGTTAAGATAACTTTAAATTAAGAGGGATAAAAACTTTATATAATTAGGCACTGGAGAAAAAAATTCAAGAGAAATAGTACTAAGTATCCCGAAGAAATACACAGAATAACAGACATGTTTAACTTAAAATCATGAACTATTTATGATTATTTAATCCAATCATTAATTTTAGATATGAGGTAAATGAGGGCTTTGTGATTTCCAGTCCCATGTTCCTCTTAGTAAACCTTGATGTTCATCAGAAACATCTAATGGATGATTCATGTGTTGAAAGTATGGTAGCAGAAAGCCACATTTTCAACAGATAACTAACGTTATTTACAGGCATATGGTCCACGAATTTCACTTTCAGAAACCCTCAGGACCCAACGTTACTGCCCTGGATAGAAGACAGTATTGAATGTTGTGGTTAGAAGGGAGATGATTGACCAGTAAAATGATGGACATGCAAGAAAATAAGAATGCTAAGATTTTTCAACTTCCACACCCTAAGAAATGGGATTGAAAATCAGTGACTTCAAATATAACACCGGAGTTTCCATTTGGGTCCTTGAGGTAGGCCACTTCCATTTTCCGTCAGCACCCAACATCATTCCTCCCTCCCTCCTTTATTTACTGCTCTGTGTGTATGTGTACATTTGTTAATATCTGGCTCTCCCTCGATATCACGAACTCCTTCAAAAGGAAAAACTGTCTTACTTTTCCACCTGCTCAATTTTCTTATTGCTAAATGAATTATATGGTTCCTGTCTACTTCGCACTTAATTATCCCTTTTTTTCCCTCAATTTGCTTCACATTAGTTAGTGCAACTAAAAAATTTAGGACTAAATTCTTTATCAATTGCTTTATGTTCAAGCAGACTTTAGGTCCTGAGTATCAAGTCCGTATGTGACACGTATCTTTATACCCACCGGAATCTAACACAGGGCTTAGCACAGAGTAGGCAGTTCATACTGGAGAGCAGGCCTTTATTGACTGATGAGGGTATGTGACAGGATTTGAAATCGTATCCAGTATACACCTTTTGGTAGCAGCTACTGAAACAAGGGAATGTTGCAAGGGAACTTAGCATGACAGGAGGTGGGAAAAAGGCAAATTGAGAAAACAAGACATTGACGTTTTGAATGAGTGAGAACCAAAATAAAGGACTGGTTCAAATCCACAGGTTAAACTCAAGGAAATACATACATACTTGTGCCATATAAACATGCATATATATAACATATATAAACATACATATATAAAACACATATATATTTATATATTATATATATAATAGATTGTTAATTAGGAAATCATGTATAATTTTATTAAACTACAGTTTAAATCAGTTGTCTAGCAATAATGCATCAGAGGTGCAGCAAAATATCTGAAAAGGATGAAGCGAAGGGAACTATTGTTTCATGTGAACATTACGTGCCGGGGTCTGGAACGTATTTTATATAAACTCTCCAATTAAAGAGAAAAAATGTGGTTTTCTGTTAAGCTGTAGATAGCGCAAGGGTGAATACAACTCTAATGATGAGACTCAGATTTAAACAGATGCAGCAGTTCTGGAATTTCAGTTTTATGGGGTTTTGTTTCTCCCTCAATCTTAGAAGATATAATAGAAGACAAACATATTCGTTGATGTTCATTAAAAGAAAGCCTGACAGCGCTGAAAAGAACAGGTAGTGACTGGTCCCAGGAAATACTTTCTGTGATACAGTTGTAAAAATTGCAGGGCATGTGTGCAAACTGCAATTTATAAGCAAACAGAGAAATCATGCTGGGTTCTTTTACTTTCTCTTAAGATCATGAAAGAAAGTAGAAAGAAATAAATTTAGAAGACTTTTTTTTAGAAGTGAGTAAGTAATGTAGGAGAAAACAAAATGAATGTGTAGTTAAGAGCCATTATATTTTTTTTGGTGGGGAAGTCAAATTAATAGTCTTTTTTTATTCTAAGAAAAATTTGAACTCTAATGGACCTTTGACTACGTATCACCTATCAGGGGATTTTTTAAAAACTATGTATCACTTATCAGAGGGATTTTTTGTATATGTGTGAAGTGATTGATAGAATGACATTTTTCTATTGTTTCCAGATAAAATATGCCAAAAGTGTAACTGTTTTCAGAAGTTTGAAGTCACCAAAACATATTTCAGTAGATAATTTTTTAAAAGGATATTTAAGCCAGGGAAAAAAGATGCAGGAGTGACATTTTTAAACGGATGGGGGTGTCATTAAAAGTTATTCCATGATAAAGGAGAACTGCATTGGTTTTCTTCTTATAGCAGATTCTCTCACCTATCACAATCAGTGTTATAACTGGGTTAGATAAAATGCAGGTATACTCTTGCTGCCTTCATGTTTTAGTTCCAACCAATCTCAGGATTTTTTTTTTACATGTACACTAAATCAGTAGAGTAAAAGACTAACATTAATAAATAACTTGAACTTTCTTTTACTCTTCAAGACTTGAGCCAGCTTTAAAAAAATGCATAAGCCAGTCCAAACTTGGTAGATATCTCTTTTATTCCCTTAAGTAAATTTTCTCAACTGCCAAATTGAAAATTTTTAATTTATTAATGCTTGAATGAATAATTCACTCTCAGACACTGGACGATCCAAAACAAACAAACCAGTTTGTGTATTTAGTTATATGAACTTTTGAACGCACTGCCTCATAAATCCAGTACTTATTGAACCTAAAAAAAAAAAAAAAAGTGCTGACCCCTATGGGCCCTGCTGTTAATTATCTCCCACTGCAGACATCATGTCTTTTCTTTACTTTTTAGGATTGTTTCTTCCTTATTAAATATTTTATATGTTTTCCCCTATTATGTCTGTGATGCTCTGCAGTAGGCATTGAATGGCTTTGGTATAATTTCAGTAGTTTTTCCCAGGATATTCTGCTGTATCAGTAAAGATATTAGTTGTTATTTATTTTCTAATATAAATCTGTGGGAAGTATTGATATATTCACCACCCCGCCATGAGAATATTGGGCCTCAAGCAGGTTGATACATGGTCAAGATTATTTCAATCCAAAGTGTTGCACTTTTTTTTTTTGGCCTGCAAATCATTTTCTTTGCCTCTGATCACTCCTGTGCCCTGTGACTATCCAGCAGGCCTGATGATATTCTCCCTGGCTTCCGTCTTACAGATGCCTTGCCTGAGCCTCCGGTCTAAATTGGGTCCTCGGTAGACAGTACTGTCTTGATGACCTCATATTGGTATAACAATTTGGGATTGTAAACTTGTGTGATTGTTCACATATGTGTCATGTGCTATCCTGTAAAGCTCAGTGAGGGGAGGGATTGTAGCTATTTCACTTCCACTGCTGCATCACTTGGGTGCACCACAGAAACCGACAGGCAGCAGGGCACACAGTAAATATTGTTGAAAGAGTGAGTTAAAGTGAGATTTAAAACCAAGCCTGTACCATGGAAGTCACAGACACACTATTGCAGGAGTGATTGTGGTGTTTTTGTGAACGGTTCCTATACATGGATTCCACGTCCCGGTGGCTACATATGCACTATCCTGTACCTTATATTCTATATTCTGTACTGTCATACTGAAACTAAGTTGAAAGCTCATTGAAAGCAGATCTTATGGTTTCTATTTAGAGTAAATGAAACATGTAGTTAGTTGGTTGATCCTTCATAAGTACTTACTAATTGATTGGAAACTGATCTTAACATTTAATTTGTTACGGAGCATTCTTTATTTCACTAAAGCCATCTTCCTGACGCTGTTCTCTAGCATGCTTTGTTCTTCTGTTATAATGACTGATGATCATAATCAGAAAAGGCTATGCCTGGTGTTAATGCTTCATTTTTTCCCTTTTATTCACAGACAGTTGGAGTGATCAAGCTTTCAAATCCTTGAAAACGTGAACTGTGCTATGTCTGGGGCAGGCTCCATATTTTTATTATGTACCGCACAACTCTAAAAGCAACATAGAAATTCAGGGCACTTAGATTGAAAAATGAACACTTTCCACATTTAAAGGAGACTTACATATTTTTGGGGTTACATACATTCTTCATCCCATTTATAAAATCCAGAACCCGTGGTTGGGCATAAAGCAGGAGATTTAATACTCTTCTGCTGGTGGGTTTTGTTGATTTTTACTGCCCCCTCCACCCAGCCCTACCCTACCCCACTCTATCTCTTCTGCTCTTTTTGTTCTTCATAGTTTTGTGCTAACTTCAGAGCTGCAGATGTGCCATTGATCACAGATTTATATATATGAGCTAAGAACAGGAATGCTAAAATAATTTCTTTCTCAGACTTTAAAGATACATGATAGGTCAAGATGCTTTACTTCATAGCCAAACATACTAAGGCACAGAGCAACATGGCAAGAATTTGAGTTGTGAGAGCCAGAAGTGCTTGTTCAGCACTAACAAGAAATAGGAGAACAGGATCAGTATAATCTCATATTCTTATTAAATTTAAAAAAAAGAGAGAGAGTAATGCCAAGGTTATGACATGAACTGACAAGACCAAAAAAAAAAAAAATCAGTTTTTCTGATGCTTCAGCCTTTGCAAGCATATGAAAGAATAATAGTAAAAAAAAAAAAAAAAAAGTCCTGTGGCATGAGTTATAGATGAAGTATCTGCCTTTAGCTTGGAATTTCCTGGCATTTTTCAGCCTGTGACACAGACTTGATGTGATTAAACAAAGGCTTTTCTCCAAATTTAAAGCTCCTTTAAAAAAAAAAAAAAGCTGAATCTAATACTCTAAATTGTTTTTAAATGGGAGCAGATGCCTCTGTTTCTTGAGCTGACTTCCAGATTCTGAGAAATAAATGAAGAATGGGGGCTTGTTTTGGTAGAGGCTGAGAAAACAGTTGGCCATATTTGCCCTTCAGAACTTCATATCATCCTGCAGCTCCCCAGTGGCAGAGCCGCATTCTTTCACAGGATGGGGCTGGGGCAGAGGATGGCGTCCTGTGGATTGGATTTCCCTTGGCTTCCCTGAGGGCAGTCCCCCGAGGAAGCACATCCTGGAGGCAGATTCACCCAATGAACCACAGCAACAGCTCCTAGGAGAATGAAGAGTGTGAGTAGAGTATGTACATGCATATGGATGGACGTGGTGGCCAACTTGGATAATCAATCTCTGAGGTTCTTTCTAAGCCTGACATCCTAGGATGCTCTAATAAAGGATGACCCCTGAGATGAGGCAGAACCCAAGACCGGGGCTGGCAGGGGGTTTGGAAATCACACTGAGCCTTAGCAAAACTCAGTTTTCTACTGAAAAAAAAAATTACTTGAAAAATTATTTTTGATTGGAATCTATACTTTTTTTTTTACCTATCAATCAGACATGTTATTTTAGACTTATTATTTATAAGTAAGTACCATCCACACAGTTTGACATATGTTTACATTGCATGGGTGTGTTTGTGTGTGTGTGTGTATTTGCTCAGTATCTTGTTGTAATTCTTTCTAAAGCCTGTTCACTCATGATGCAAAAATTTTTTTTTTTTGAGACGGAGTCTCGCTCTGTCACCAGACTGGAGTGCAATGGCATGACCTCAGCTCACTGCAACCTCCGACTCCCTGGTTCAAGCGATTCTCCCACCTCAGCCTCCTGAGTAGCTGGGATTACAGGCATGCACCACCACGCCCAGTTAATTTTTGTATTTTTAGTAGACATGGGGTTTTACCAGGTTGGCCAGGATGGTCTCCATCTCCTGACCTTGTGATCCGCCCGCCTCAGCCTCCCAAAGTGCTAGGATTACAGGTGTGAGCCAATCGCACCCGGCCTGTGATGTAAATTTTTACCAGTGAGTTTTTAGACTCTTGACTTCAGAGTCTGTAATGGCTATCATTGCATATATCAAGGCACAGTTAAACCTTATGTTAAGAAAAGCGTGAGGAATTGAAAATTGTTTTGCATTAAGATAAACTTTATTTTTTGTATTTTGTTTCACCACCTCTCACTTTTTTGAATACTTGTAAAGCATTCATTGAATAAAGAAATTTGTACAAAAATGTTGCATCTGGAGCTGTAGGGTGCTTTAAGAATTTAGGCACTAAAGATTGTATGGTCCTAGACACTTACACTTTAAACAGAATAGTATTAAGGTTGTGGTAAAAGCTCCTACAATTTATTTAAGGTTGTGCTTTAGTATTTGACCTAAAAGTATTTGAAAGCCTCTAAAACATAAAATCTGGAGGTCCATGGAAGAAGCTCGATCCAACAACCCTGTCACAGATAGTTTTGACTCAACTGCATGTTGGTGACCCTGAAGAATTAGTCATGGAAAAATAATTTCAATTTCTTCTAGTGACCTTTTCAAAATGATGAGCCTGGAACAGTTACAGACTCTGGCCCAAAAGAATCAAAGTTGAAGGTAGAGACGTTTTAAGGATGAACAGAGCAAAACAACTTAGCAGTGGGATATTAAAGGCAACATGAATCAAAGTAAATAACTTCCTTTTAATGTTCCCAAAGTGTTTTCCTTGGGGCCTAGTAGAGCAATTGCCAGAAAATGTGGCCTATAACATTTAGCTGTGGTCACGTCTGTCTCTCCAACATTCTGTTGGCTCCTCAAGGAAGGGAACATGGTTTAGTTCTGTCCCCTCCAGGACTATTGTCCCAAAGATGAAAACGCTGATCATTGAAATCATTTTATCAGTCTCTGAACTGACTCTGGATTTGAAATTTTTGCTCAGAAGTGTAACAATCACCTGAAACTTGGCACAGTCACACAGTTTTCTACCTCTACCTCTCCCAAGTCTGTTTCTTCCCCATTTCAATACCAGTTGCTCAGTGCGAACCTCAAAAGCTATCCTTGATTCCTTTTGCCATTTACTCTGTCTTCCATTCTCCAGCACCACCTGCAAAACGTATTCTGAAATCACCAACTCTTCTTTATCTCGATGTTCACTTTAGCTCAAGCCCGGTTGACTGCTGGGATGCCACATCCCAGTTTCCACACTGGTCCCTGTCTCAACCCAGATCATTTCCACATAGCAGCCAGAGTGATCTCTAAAAAGTTAAATCTATATGTATGTCACATCTGTGCTATACCCTCCACTGGATTTCTACCATACTTAGGATAAAATCCCAAATTATTTCCAAGGGAATGAGGCCTTGCATCCCCTGGCTTGTCTTCTTTGACTTCATCCCGTACACTCTGCGCGTTGCTCAGCATGTTACAGCTACATGGGTTTTCTCTCTGTTCTTTATATCCAAAGGTCAGTAAGACATTTTCCCTTTCTTCAGCAGTGTATTCTCTGCTCCATGAACCCCTGGGGCTGGCTCCTGCGCATCAGTCTGACGTCCATCTACATGTTTATTTCTCAGCAAGGTCTTACCAGGCCTCTTTGCCTAAGTTAGCACACACATCAACACCCCTTATTTTTACTACATCATTCTGTTTTCTTTTATTTGGAACATGTATGGTTATTAAGCACTATCGCTCGTTCATTTTTTGTGCTCGCTTATTTTTTGTTTTCTGCCATGTCAGCCACTCCCTGCTAGAACGGAAGATTCATGGGAGCAGGAATCATGTTTGCTATGTTCCTTATTGCAATCCTAATGCCTGGAACTCTACCTAATACACAGGAGGACTCCACAATCCGTGGGTGACTGAAGAAATGAATTCATTTGCGCATATCCAGTTCCATTCTTGAACTCTTCCTTTAGTGAGAAGCACATGAGAACCTTGTTAATATGAAAACTGATAATGGGGTGAGAGAAGAAAAGAAAAGCATAAAATATACCCTCAGTTTCCTTACCTGTCTAATCCACGCATCACCAGACACCAGAGAACGTGGAAAGTGGCCAAAAAGATGATGCAGGGATGTCTGAGCCCACTTTCTCATTTGACTTTCCTAGGTACTGTGGCCTGGGAAATAGAAGTAATGCATTAGAAATAGAAAACAAAACAAGAAGTTTAAGGTTAACATTCAGAGTCTACTGCACTCTCTTACTCGGGCTCACCTGAGAGCATCTTGGCAGGCCAATGTTGTTTCAGGAGCTTTGAAATGGGATTTCCTTGAGAAATGACCTTGAGTTTCTCTGTTCCACACATGTGGAACCCTAGCCTTTGAAAGACACTTAGGTCTATGTGCTTGGGATATAACAAGACTTTACTTTTGATCTTGAAAAGCTTGAATGATATTTAGGAAAGCATGATGTATATATATATACAAGGAAAATTAAACAATGTTTTTGTTTTTTTTTGTTTTGAGATGGGGTCTCACCCTGTCAGCCACGGGGGAGGGCGGTGGTGGGATCTCAGAGGCTCACTGCAACCTCCGCCTCCCGAATTCCAGAGATTCTCCTGCCTCAGCCTCTCAGGTTCTTGGGATTACAGGCATGTGCCAACACACCTGGCTGATATTTGTATTTTTAGTAGAGATAGAGTTTCACCATGTTTGCCAAGATGGTCTCGAACTCCTGACCTCGAGTGACCTGCCTGTCTTGGCTTGGCCTCCCAAAGTGTTGGTATTACAGGCGTGAGCCACGGTACCCCAACAGAAACAATTTATAAGAAAAATTACAGAGTAACTATGTGTGCAAAGTGTCAAAAAAAGGATAACTTCAGAACTGATGGCTTCAGAAGCACAGAGCGATGACTGTGAGTAAAAGTGATTAGGGAAGTGTTCACTCACATTTACCAAAATATGTAAAACCACAGGAGTTGTAGGGAGGCTGGAATGAATGGTTTTGTGGAACTAAATATACTGGAACTAAATATTTATCTTTTTTTTTTTCCACAAAGTACTGTGAGATCAAAAGTTGACCTCCATTCAATTAGCAACAATTAACTAACACAGACTTTAAATTTTAAAATAATGAACTGTAGGATACGGTGTTTTTACATCATTGAATATTAGGATTTGTATAAGAAAAAAAAAATCATTCCTGGTCCTATGTTCAGTTTTACCTTCATCTTTTTCAAATTATTCATAGCTTGATTTCAGATACAGATTATCTAGTTCCTTTATTCTCCTTTTAACATACGTGGTCCTCTTTTTCCTTTTAGTAATTCAGACATGAAGAGAAGCTCAACTTAACCACTTGGATTATTTTATTATTTTACTTTTATTTTATTAGAATGTTTAGCAGCTCTAAGAAAATCTTGGAAAGAGAGAAACTCAAAACCAATTATTCAAGCAATATTTTGAGGTTATCTGGTGATTTTCAGTATTTGTGCTCTTGGTATTAACTAAGATCAACATAATTTTGTATTGAGTCCTGATTTACTACGGTTTATCAGGCAAGTTTTTGGAAGGTACTGTGGGCCTTTCTTCACAGCTCTTTAGTAAGATGCCCAGCCCTCTTCTAAGAGCTGCCTTTCAAAGCTACATGGGCTCTTTCAGATGGTTATGAAATCTTCAAGCAGCACTACCAGGACTCTTTTGGTCTAAACTAATAACATTTCCAAAAGAGAAATCTCATGACTTGAGAGAATGCAAAGTAAATGCTGAACAAAGGGAGTTGGTTAATAAAAGCTTCTCCACTGAAAGAGACAATGAAACCCTCGTCTGATTATTTAGACAAATTTGAGATGTTTCCATTTTCATTCATTTGCAATTCTTTAGTAGATAAATTTTTATCAATGATTTGTGGGCTGAGAGTTTCTAAAGTTGTCCCTGAATAAGACATTTGCTGGTCGAGTAGCTGTTATAGCTGAATTCTTTATCAGAAGGACTTCACTAGGCAGCTGAATACTTTATTGTCGTTTCTCAGTCTAGTTAACAAGGGAGAATAGTCCCCTGAGAAAAGCGTAAATACATATTCAACTTTTACTGTCGCAATTTAAAAGTGTTCCTGGAAATGCCACGGGCATTTTATGGATTATGAATTCTTTCAATTTTCAGTTTAAAATTTATATCATAACCACAATAGTGTTGAAGACCTTTAGAAAAGAAAACCTCACTTCTTCCTTAAAACCTATGTCTGAAACTGGTTAGTCTCTCCTTTATGGAGAGAAAAAATATATATACAATTTATGAGTTTGGAGTAGAATCAATGCCATGCATATCTTAAATCATATTTATTTATACCTAGCATACTTATCCTAGCTTGAAGAGGTCTATGACCCCCAAATAGTAAAGTGGTTAGTGTACAGAGGGAACTTCGGAGCACATCCAGTGTGTGTTTCTCCTGGCACGTCGCTTCAGCTGATCCTCCCAGGGTAAAGGGTGGAGAAGTGCTGGAGGCCTCTGAGGGATGTCTAACTCATTTATTCTAACAGCAGGCAGCATCTTAAGATGACCGCCAATGTGCATCTTATTAACTTATCACAACTCAGGACAATTTGCCGGTTTCCAATATTATTCATTCTCTATAATATAATTTGTTATATTTATTTACATATAATACAATAATAATTCAAGCAAATATGAAATATAAAATATTTAATTTGTATTTTTATTTGTTCAATATATATAATTATAAAATAATAAAAAATAATTCAAGCAAAATTTTATTCCTATAGCAAGAATATCGTTTCATTTTTATGAGAGTTTCTTTTCTTTTGTATGATCTTTCATATACAAGGTGTACCTTGAGAATAAATCAAAAAGTGAGTTTGTACAACAAAGCCATTTACTTCAAAGGAAAGCTCACGAAAAGTACTGATCAACTAGAATGGAATTTTCTTTCTTTTTTAATATAAACTGTGGCTACCAGGACACACACCTATGGACACGTATGTGTATCACATATCTATCTGTGTGTGTATATATATATGCATGTATGTATATATGTACACACACGCATGCATAACATACGTACACACATACATACACATGTATAGTCTTTTTTCCTCTGTCTTATAGTGGTAAAAATAAGGTAGACTTAAATTCAGAATACAGAAAGAAATGCTTGTTAATTTTTATTTTATTTTATTTTATTTGAAATGGAGTCTTGCTCTGTCACCCAGGCTGGAGTGTGGTGGCATGATCTCAGCTCACTGCAACTTCTGCTTCCTGGATTCAAGTGATTCTCCTGCCTCTGCCTCCCTAGTAGCTGGAATTACGGGAGTGCACCACCATGCCTGGCTAATTTTTTTATTTTTATTTTTAGTAGAGACAGGGTTTCACTATGTTAGCCAGGTTGGTCTTGAACTCCTTACCTCATGATCTGCCCGCCTTAGTCTTCCAAAGTGCTAGGATTACAAGCATGAGCCCCCGTGCTTGGCCTATGCTTAATTTAAAACTTTGCTTGCTAATCTGAAATTGAATTTATTTGCTAATCTTAAAATTGTTAAACATTATCCTAAAATGCAAGATCATTCTATATTTTCACATGGATTCACATGTTGAAGCTACTAGAAGGTGGAGGGGAGGAACTATTTGGTGTAGGACAGTTGATTAGACCAATCGTAACATTTCTGTATTTTGAGACCCTGAGAGATATTTCAGTTCAGGGGTTCCCACATAGTGATAGGCTTATGTTTGGGTAGAGGGTAGAGCATTTTCTCTGTTATTTCTATAATGCAAGAATTTTAGTTCCCCTATTTTCCAAACTTCTAAAGTCAATGTTCCTTTACTCATGAGCAAGAATAAATGGGCTTCTATTATACACACATAAAAAATTCCCATTGTTTCTAATATCTCTCATTAGATATTAGGCAACATGGGGAATCAATAAAGTACATTTAATTTTCATCTCAGAAGTGAGAAAACTGGAACTCAGAAAAGCAAAGTAAATGCTCATGGTCACACAACTGTTAAGATAAATCTGGGATTTAAATGTAGGTCTCTCTGATTATAAAACTCATGTTCCTTCTCTTGTAGGATGCTGCCAGTGACCCCAGAGCCTTTTGTTTTCCTCCAATATTCTCAGTACTTTAAGTATTTAATTGTCCTTTAACATCTCTCTGAATGCACTCCAAATTTAGGAAGTACTGGTTGAGAGTGGGGCCTGGAGCAGTTTAGAGCCCTGTGATGAAGGGCAGGTCCCTCTCTGGAGGAAGTTCCTACCTGGGGCAGAGAATAACTTACAGCACAGTGCTCAATATTTTCAGAGAATTGTGGGTAAGATGAATATCAAGGTCAGGCTTAAAGTGGAGCAACAAGGGAATGGATACCTCAATTAGCAATCTGTGGCTCAGAGAGTGAGAGAACTTTAGCCTCAGCCACTGCATTTGCAACTGTTTGAGGATCCAGGAGGGAGGGTCCAGCCTGGGCCTAGAGAACACTGAGACATATCTGGGTTTGTCTAATGAGGTTGAGAAGTTGGTGGGCCACCAGCCTTGCTTAACGGGACGGTAGAGATTTTCACATTGGAGTTTTCATGTGGTGATGTGTTTCCTTAACCTCCCTGTTGTCTAGGGTACATGAACGAAGGCATTGGGGTGAGACAGGAAAAGCTGGAAGGTCTCTGTGAGATCATGAGAGGCAGGGATAAAGGGATCTGCAGTGACTCAGTGTGACAGTGTGGAGCAGAATGATCTCTTTGCCTCTGTGGGGAGGACAGTGTGCCCTAGTACACTATGGCTGGAAGTGTTGGGTGTGTCAAGCTCTGTTTCAGGTAGCACTGAAGGCTCTATGAGCAGTGGTGGCAGACTGGTGTGTTGGTGAAGAAGGAAAGCCTTAGAGCTCACAGCCATTGAAGGGGCACACCTAAGACAGCTCCTCAGACTCCCAGAAATGTCCTGGGGAGACTTTACAGGGGCTTCACTGGGATATGTGTGGGGAGGGCAAATTTGGGTTATTACTTTAATTGTTAGCCTAACCATGTCTGCATCATGATACCATAAGCCAGGGAACATTTAGTTCAATATTTAAGGAAATTCTTACTTTTCTCACCAGGTGGTGTTTTAAGTGCCTGCTGAACTCCATTTCAGGCCCATAGACTTAGGCAATGTAGGAGTGCCTCATTTCTGACCTTATAGATGACTCAAGTAGGGCCCTGAGAAACTGCTGAAAGCTTTACTTCATTTTAACTAATTCAGCACATATTCTGTGGTTACTCTCAGAGAGTAAGGCCTTGTACCAGGAACTTCCACTATACCCAAACAGAATCTGCAGGCGTGCCATAAGAGAAAGCATGGTACAAGGGACAAAAGATAGCTCCAGAATCAAAAGACCTCTGTTTGTATTTCAGGGCACGTTATTTTGGGCAAAAAGTCTGATGTCTCTGGGCTCTCGTACTCTCAACTGTGAAATGAGAAAAGATTTTATGAATGCAAAATTGGGACATAGAGTCTGACAAAGGTTTCCTATGGGAGTTTCAGGTATGAGAATCAAACTAGCTCCTAGAGATTGGGTCTTACAATGCTTGACTTGGGGCTACAATTCAAGTGAATCTAATAGAAATGGTTTAGGATATTTAAAGCAAAGATTCCCCTAGACAATTTTGAATGAATTTCGTATAGAACCCCCCTCATGGTGGGGTTCTGAGGATCAAATGAGGCAATGAAGGTGGAGGATATTTTTAAAATGTAAAGCACCAAATAAATATTGACCAATCTAATTATTACACTTTACTACTTGTCCGGAGCTGCACGCCCCGGCCATAGCGAATAATAATTAAAGATTAAACGCCTGAGCTATATTCATTTCCACCCCACACCTTCTCCCTAGATTTAACTTCTTCCCTGTATTCATACCGCCATTAAAAGATGGCGCTCTTCCTGCTTCTTCTTCATTCTTTTTTCCCGCGCCCGCGAAAAGACTACCTGACTGCGCAGGCGCAACATGACGTCCGACCGGAGAAACCGAGGCTTATCTGGCCATGCCTTCCGCAATGAGGTCATTTCCGCCTTAGCCTAACCCCTTCCCCTCCAAATGTATATAAGGCATTGCATTACCGCCATTAAACGAGACTTGATCAGAGCACTGTCTTGTCTCCATTTCTCGTGTCTCTTGTTCCCCAAATTCCCACCCCCTCCTCCAGGGCCTACACTGACTATCCCGCGGGCCGGGATAACTACTCTATAAATCTAGACTTTTGCTTCGTATTTTAACCCACATTGCTACCTTGCAGACTTGAGACCCCAGGCCTGTCTCTCATATTTATGGAAGAATCTGACTTTCTGCAGTTCCAAGCAAGCCACTTTCCTGCTTCCTCAGGCAGTCATGGTAAGCACTGAAGGGTATAATACTCCACCCACTTATGTGGGCCATCCCTTTCCATGAGGCTCCATCCTTTTTATTTCTTAAGTTCATATGAAATAGGGCTCAAAGAAAAGTCTATCTCATTTATGGCCTTTCTCTTTTTTTAAGTTATGAGATTTGTTTGTATTATTTAAAACGTATTCCCTCCTTGTTATATACCATAGGCGTGACCCAAATCAAATCAGCGGTTTCTAGGCTTTTTCTTACCCAAGACTCCCCAGATGCCCTTTCTCTGTGTTTCGGTTCTGCTCCCTTTGGCCCTGCACTTCTTTCTGTTGCTGCACTCTGTGGAGTATCAGACACTATCCTGGCATGGCAATTAGGCTAATGGTTGGATTGTGATCGCCTGAGAAAGCAGTCTGGGTGTCAGGAATGCCCACATAACAAAATGTCAGTAAGTGCAAGGAGGGAAGAAAGAAATGAAACTCACAAGCCAAACTTCACCATTATTTCTCCTTGCAAAGCAAATAAATAAGGCCTGATTTCGGGAACCCATGCTTCGGTCCAGGTTCATAGTAGGCTCGTGGGCAACTAGAGGGGCAATACAGTTTTGGGATAAGGTAGCGTGTAAACTATGATTTTAAAAAAATGTATCCTGTGGTTTCTCTCTGACTCCTCCACAGTTTACCCTCTGAAAATAAAACCTTAGTGTTGAAAAAGTAACTGGCTATAAAAGAGATAAGTTTATTGAGAATTCAAATAGACCAGGGGATTTTAGGGTCATTGCTACATTGCAGAGGAACGACCCATCATTTTCTGGCATAGGTTGACATTGGTGAACGTACAAGATCATGGATCTGGGGACCACTCAGCTCCTCCTTCTTCTCTGTCTTCTGCAGTCCCTTCAGAGGAGAGTTTCCACCTTTCTTTTAGTGTTTTTGAGGCACTCAGATCATTAGCATTGTGTGTTTTCTGTCCTATGCCTTATATAACTAGAAGTTATTATTATTCCAGAATACATTAATGAAGAAAGTACCACTGAGCCTGGAGTTCTTCCTTTTGATTGTCTTTTTTAAAATTAGAAATTCCACCCTCACAGTTTTTGTGTAGATGATCCTATTTTCTAATCATTTTTTAAGCCTTAAATATTTAGTAGTGTGTAGTTTCAATCATCTCATTAGAAATTCCACTGATGTTTAAGAAACTTATCCTGGCTATCTGTCCCGTTGCCCCACTATCAATGTAGCAAAAAGCTGAAATGAGACAGAGTATGTGGGTGTGTGTGTGGAAGCCCAAGTTGTTTGCCTCCCTTCTCAGTTCCAGACAGCATATGGAATCCCCAGACACATTTTGTTTTTTTTTTTTGAGACGGAGTCTCGCTCTGTCACCCAGGCTGGAGTGCAGTGGTGCTATCTCGATTCACTGCAAGCTCTGCCTCCCTGGGACTACAGGCGCCCACCACCACGCCCGGCTAATTTTTTTGTATTTTTAGTAGAGACGGGGTTTCACCGTGTGAACCAGGATGGTCTCGATCTCCTGACCTCATGATCTGCCCGCCTAGGCCTCCCAAAGTGCTGGGATTACAGGCGCGAGTCACTGCTCCCAGTCCCCAGACACATTTTTTAAAGTCACATTTTAAACACACATTCCTCAAAACTGGACTAAAATGAACCGTGTATACTTAGAGTACCTGAGATCACACCATCTGAAACAATAGTGAGAAATCTGTGGTTAGACAATGGAAAATGATTGTAGGATAAAAATAGAATAGTTATTTATTTGTTATATTTTGTGTTGAAAAAAACTTCATGTCTTTCCTTTTTTTTTTTTTTTTTTTTGGTAAGGCAAGATGCTTAACCCAGCATTTACCAAATTGTGTTCTGAGAAATATCAGTTTTTCTGGATGAAAATCAGAATCCACATTTTCAGTTTCATGGCCAAATAAGTTTGGAAGCACTGTTACACAAAGCCAATCACATTTCTGCACTGCTGAAATTGTCAAAACTTTAATAAGCTAACAGGTTCTGTGAATTCCTCAGATGGGGGAGGTAGCCCATACAGAGTCTTCTTTTCCTATGGGGTCATTTTTAGGGCCTGTGAAACCACTGTGAAAACTGTGGAGCTGATCATTGGAGAGCCACTTATTAAGAGTGACTCATCCGGGCAGATTACAGGATGAGGACAACTAACAGAACAGCCACATTTACACATGGAAATCACTAAACAAACACCAATGGGACTCTTCATGGCAAAGTCTGAAAGTGATTTTGGTCTAAATTAAATGGTTTCCAAAAACTTATCTAGAGCAAATGCCTCTTAAATATGAAATACATGTTTTGTGTTCATAACTACTCCCTAGAAAATCAAGCTTTTAAACCAAAACTTATACAATTGGTCTGAAGAACTTCCTGCCTCCTTCTTAAGAGATTTGGGGAACATAGAAGATGACTTGAGGATATTTCCAGACAGTGACATCAGAAGAGAGGAATTAGCATGATGTTAGGTAGCTGTATTTAAGGATTATCTCTCTACACAGAAGTCAGTCCTTCTTCATGAGAACCCCTAACATTTCCAGCACTCCATGCCGGCGCATATACCTTCAGGGCTGAGATGTGGAATTTCTAAGTTCCTGTTGGCACTTGGCTCGAAAGACTTTTCCACAGGTGCTGTCTGCCAGCCTGGGCTCAAGATGCACCTGCTGGGAAATTTCCAAGCGCAGCTTTAGGCCTCAAAGGAGCAGAACTTGACGGTGTCAAAAGACAAATGAAGTGGAAGCTCGTTAAGAAATGTTAATGCAAAAGCAATAATGATTAAGAAGCCTAAAGAAAATCTGGCAAACGTGCTTTTTAAACTAATACAGGAGGGAGAATTCCACAGGCATCTTCGTTGCACATCTCTAAGGATGGGATTTTGAGAGGCATAAGCACTGCTGGGTTTAAAGAAAGAGTGATAATTCCAGCTAGGGACACCAAGGGAGGCTGAGGAGCCCTCCCTGTGGTTTCTTTAGCAAGAAGCCTCAGATAAAGACAATGTTCTCCATTAGATAGTTTTAAAGGCCTTGGGTACACAACCAGAAAATCACTGGAGAACAAGCCAGGAAAATCACCTACATTTTCAACCTCTCTAGTTTCTCATTACAGTTTTCTATTTTTTCCCCTTGAAGGTCATAAAACATAATGTAAAAACAAGGTGAATTATAGCAAAGCATGATCTAGGCATGCAACCTAATTTCTATAATATAAGAGACCTTTAGACTTCTTTGAAATAGGACTTTCCCTTTATTATGGGGAAAATTAAGGTAATATGAAAACTAGCCCTTACCGTTTTCAATTAGCTCAAGTTGTGACCATTTCCAACAATAATCATATCTGAATAATGTCATTCTTAAAACCACTTAGGCTTTGTCTTATGCTTTTCTGAGTGTTAGTGATATAAAAGATTGCAAGTAGTACATTTTAATTCTGAATCACCAGGAAGAATATTTTGGCTATGATATAATCATTATCTTTTTTTTTTTTTTTTTTTTTTTTTTATTTTCTGGAACACTGGTTCCAAGGCAAAATAAGATAAGGGGAAGGTGTTCAATTTTTGGTACTGAAAGTAATTATAATAAATGCTGTGACTAAATATTAGAATTCTATTTTATGTATTTAAAAGATATTGAAAAAACACTTTAATAATTTTGCTTATCATTTGCCATTGATCTTTTCAAATGTAAGAACTTGAGAGGCTGTTGACATTTAAGAATAAATAATGCAAGCATGTTCCGTTTTCTGTACATTTCACACTTTACCAAGTGAGTATATAGTTCATGTGATGACAGTTCTAGTCAAGGAATAAGGAATACTCATAGTAATGGGCAATTTCATTTTAAATGTAAGCATAACATAGACACATTTTTATCTTTGTTTTTATGTTACTCAGGAAGTCCTATAGCCGACATGTGCGGGAGACAGGGAAAGACAAGCCTAGGGTCCATCCTTCAAGGACTTTATAGACCAGTTGGGGAAAGAAACATGAGTCTATGGGCAGTAAAACTATTAACAAAAAGAGTAAGTGCAAAAAAGCCAGATGAATAATAAAGACATGATTAATTAATGAAGTTCAGAGGAAGGAGAGAAAGAGAACCTTTAGCAGTGGCAGGATTTGAACCTGAAATTAAAGCATAGCTGAGATGATCTTAGTTGGAGATGTTCTCTCCAACTAAGATAATCTCTCCAATTCATTGCATGTGAGGGACAGAGAGATGGTTTGGGAAAAAATTCTGCAACAGGATATGATCACTGTAATTCCAGGCCAAATTAATAATATCACTTGTTTGAAGCCAATAATTTCTGTGGGTCAGTGAATGAAGAGCTGTAGATCTAAAAAGGAAAACTGTAGCTGGACTATGGAGGGCTTTCAGTGGCAGACCAATTCTGAATTTTCTAACATAAGATTTGAGATAGGGACATGATGATCTCAACTGTTTTCGGGAAGAGTGAGTGGTGTGTGAGAGAGGGAGTTGAGGGGCAGGAGGACACAGCCAGTAGACCACTGGTGTTAGCTGATAAGCCCAGTAAATTAGGCAGGGATGGTGAGAGAATAGGGGAGAAACAGGGAGCAGAATGTGGTGGAAAGTGAGAGTGAGAGAGTGGAATCTCTGCTGACTGCTTCAGAGAATGCCAGGAGTGGTTTGCTTTTCTTTTTTTTTTCCCCCTTTCAGTGCATTTTTAGTCATGAGTTGACACATTCACTGGATCCTAAGTGAAGTCAAGAGACATTTGATCAGGTCCCCTGTTTTTAGTGAAGTTTGTTTATTCCTGTTTTACAGACATGGTAATTAGAAACCAGGAAGACTAAGAAAGGATCAAATTTGCAGCAGCTCAGTAAGTGGTAGACCAGGAACAAGAAGCCAGTTCTCTGGACTCTTGAAGCAAGGCCCTGCCACGTTGTCTTTCCCCAGGAGAAGAGGTATGACAGATGTGAGCAAAGGTCTTAGGTTGATTTTTTTAAACTGTGTGAATATCAGTGTCTGGTATTTTATTACAATAACTTAAAACATAAAACTAAAATCACAGCATGCTCAGCCGCAGATTTCCCTTCCAAAGCAAAGCTTCTGCATACCGAAGGATATGAGGACAGTTTTCTATTTCAAACTGATTTTTTAAAGCCACTATATATATAGGCTCTAAATGTAGAAGTCCTAATTATTTATAAGTGAATTTTTTCTTAAAAACATGAAAGAAAAAAATCAATTTTAAGAAATTAATATGTGAAATGACTTGAATTTTTCTAAGGTTTCTTTGCAATGCTTTACCATTATTACAACTTCAATATCCTGCTTTAGCAACACTTATTTAACTAGTCACATTTTACTTTTATGGGGGAGCAATAAATGTAAAAGGTACATAAAAACCACAGCCAAATGGTTGACATCTGACCTTTAATCATCTTTTCAACTCTCCTTTAGCAACCCACCACCTCCTTTTCTACATATACACAAATACATAGTGTGTATGAACACACTTCCTTATTTACCACATATCATGATGTTGCTTAAGAAAAAAAAATGACTTTCTTGACCCTGGTCTGCCTTTTGTTTCTCCTCACATTTTTTTTTAAACTATTTTTACTATTTTCTGTTATTTGGTCTAACAAATTACCACTTTCTTTGTGATTAAAATTAAGACTGGAGCCTCAAAAAACCTGGTAAAAGGTGATTTTTTTAAACTAGCACAAGACCAAGAATCAAGTAAAAAGCTTGTTTTGAATTTTGAAACTGCGTTATTATAAATAATATAGTTCTTAATTTTTACCAATATATGAGTAATTCTCTAACCTAAACTACACACACACACACACACACACACACACACATTATATATTGATTATAAACAACAGGAAATATAGATAGAATCAGTAATTAGTAGGAAGGGACCTGAGAAGAGGCCTGATCACCGATCATTTGACAGATATGAAGGTTGAAAGACATGGCTAATGCCACATGGCTACTGAGGGCAGAACTGGAACAAAGACAGAACAGTCCCGGGCTTGGCCCTGTTCACTTACAACTATGCCTCCAAATATGACATCACTTGCAGAAAGAGAATGCTGTGCCCTGAACATACAAAGATTGAACCAGAATATCAAAGTGTTCATAGCAAACCCGGAAAAAGATCCCATCCTTGAAGCAACTTTCTCGATGGCTGCCCCTATTTCAAAAACTTGAGATGACGGGCAGCCCCACAGCACGCCTCCTCTGCCTTGTTTTGTCTTCATGGTATGAAAAAGGGTAGGAAAAGTCTGGAAACCTGACCCAGCTCAGTCAATAAAAAGTCTTTTGTCTGTGAACCTGACCACAAGTGACTCATTGACAGCCGATTGAAAGATTTTTGTCGGGAACTCCCTCCTATCTCTTAACAGAAATAAACAATTTGAAACAAAACTGAAGTATAAGGTGGAATCAATTCCCACTTCAAAATAGTGTTGTCTACTACATGTAAAGGTGTTTATTTCCTCCTGATGAAACATTTGTTATGGATTTACTGCCATTTGTATCCCTTTACCTAAATCCACCATTTGTTTTGTCAAAGATGGAGCATGAAAAATTCTTTACAAGATGTCTTAAAGTGCACCCTGAATTAACGGTTCAATTAATTTTTTTAAAAAACCTTAATTTTTTTTTGTTTCTAGCAGATGATTAATTGCCCTTAATTTCAAATGGTATTGTATTTTAATTTATTTTATTAAAGTTCAAAATAAATTAGTAATTCAATTTTGTATTTTTATCATTTATTTTTTAACGCTAAGTACTTTTTTTTAAAAAAAGGTGCTTATTATGTGTGTGTTGTATTTTCATTTCCACAGTATTCTTCCTTAAAATATATTAATAATTTTTGACCTTTTAATAATTGACTTCAAGTTAGAAAAACTAGTGGCATCAAACTATATTCAGAATTTATTGCTATAGCACTTAAACTCAAGGAAAATGCCAGACTCAAAAATTCTGACAACGCAAATTCATTCTAATCAGGCTTTGTCTCTGCCCTTTGTAAGAATTGTAAGAAAACTGGAGTATCTTCTATGTTAAATATTCTGAAATATGGTCAGTGGCATCCATCCGTGAAGTTAAAAGACTTCATCGTATTTACTTTTGATTTTTAAAAAGGGCATGGGCCCTCTGCCTCTCCAACTTGAGGTATGAGAGGATCCACAAATGAAAACACATTATCATCATTAAAGACTTGGAATTCTAGAGAAAATCTCATCCAGAGAGACTTAAAATAATGAATTACATTTGGTCCTTGTGGTTTTAGTGATGTGATACTTTAAAATGGCTTAAAGTCACTCCTGTACAATCCCCATACATGTTTCAGTATTTATCATCAAATCCCCTTTAATTGCCTATATTCCTTTAAGATTCTGCTATACTATCTCACTTGCTATGAGCAAGCGCTAAGCCTCCAGCCCTGGGCAAGCAGCTTGGGCAAGTGATTCAGATGAAGGGCTTGATTAACAGACTCTTTGCAGTTCGCTCTAACAAGTCAAGCATTTCCTGGAAACCCGCCCACAGATTGTGGGACTATTTTTAGTAGCTCACCTCCCAGTAAATGTAGCTATTAGATATCCAGATATCCCTGCCTCTTTCAGATGCAGTAAAATAGAACATAAAAGGGTGTAATTGAATGATTACAGCTAAAGCCTGTAATCAGGAGCCATAGGGTCTCTCTCTTTCCCCTGAGCGCTCTGGGACACAGCCCTAGGAAGGCCTTGTCCCTCCCCACTGCCTGGGGAAACACGCGTACCTTGCACCGGCAGTGCTGGCGCTCTGCAGATGCAGCCTAACCTCAAAAGCAGGCGCCCTGCAGATGCAACCTAACCTCAAAAGCAGGCGCCCCGCTGATGTAGTGTAACTTCAAAAGCAGGCACCTTTGGGACTGCTTTCTGTTCATGCATGCAGGGTAGCGAGGAAAGGCAAAATAATTCACATATATGGACATCTACTTGTGTATTTATGTGATTTTTCATAGCCATGTGAGATAGGTAGGTACCATTATTTTCGTTTTACTAATGAGCAAAGTTTACTGCTATGGTCTGAATTTTTGTGCCTTCCCAAAATTCATATGTTGAAATCTGATCACCAATGTTACGGTATTAGGCAGTAGGACCTTTGGGAGGTGATTAGGCCATTAGGGCAGAGGTCCCATGAATGGGATTAGTGCCCTCATGAAAGAGGCTCCAGAAAGCCTTTCCTCTTCCACTATGTGAGGACATGGCTGGAAGATGTCATCTGTAAACCAGAAAGTGGACCCTCACCATCCCTGAATCTGCTGGCGTGTTGATTTTGGGCTTCCTAGTTTCCAAAACTATCAGAAATAAGTTTCTGTTTTTTATAAGCCACTCAGTCTATGGTGGTTTTGGGGGGCAGCCTGAATGGACTAAGATATTTACCAATCAGCCAAGTTGAGCAATTGCCCGCAGACCTGTGGCTAACGAGCAGCAGTGTCAAAGCTGGGTTTAAACTCAGCCCTTTTACACTCTGCTCTTTGATGGGGGACAGAAGAGCAGACTCTATAACTAGGGTGGCTGAGTAATTTATTGTCCAAACCAAGACTTGTCTAAGAAACAAGTGGAAGTGCTTGTTCCACTGGGACAGCAAGCCTAACCTGTAAGGGTCTTGGGCGAATCAGGATGTGTGGTTGTCCTGTCCCTAACCCTGCCTTGCTCACGCCAGCAGAGCCAAGACTGAAGATGTGTCCAGTTGAAAGTTTCCAGCCCACTGGTCAGAGTGGGGATAGCTTATACCCGAATCCTGCAATAGGTCCCTCGGGCAACAAGGAATGAAGCTTTTAAAAATATAATATTTAAGACGAGATTTTAGGCATGAAATTTCTATTTGATTTTACTTAACTCAAAGAGGATCCATCATGCAGAAAGTGTTACTTACAGCTGCGCCCCTAACTCCTTAGAGGCGGTGAAACTATCATCGTTGGACTGCCAGTCACTTGCATTAGATATGTTGAGATAATACAAAAATATCTTAACATTTATTGACTTGCCATGTGCCAAACAGTGTGCAAAGTGCTTTACTTACATTATCTCATTCGATTTTCTCGAATCCTCTATGAGGTAGGTAAATTTATTGCCCCATTTTACAGATAAGAAAACGCAGGCACAGAGAAATTTGCTTGAGAACACACACATAGTAAGTGGCTATGTGGCTCAGCTATATTCAGACGGAGGACTTCTGCCTCCAGAGTCTGCACTCTTCATTGTGACATGGGGCCGTGTGTGATGTACTGATCTTGGAACTAGAAGGGTCACAGAGCGGTGTGACCTCACAAAGCTTGTATATTATTGAAGAGAGGCTTTTTTATATCACCACATCTCAACTAACACCTCAGTGTTTGTTGGAAGACATCATGTATGTATTTTTACAAATACTAAGTGTCAAATGAGTGACACAGACCACTCTGTCACGCCACGGTGCTTTGTGGATAGAGACAAGGTGGCATATGCTGATGGAATATATTGATACTTATTTTCTTAAATATCCATCTCATTCTCTCTGATAGCATGGGAAGCCTTGCAAGGATCGTCCTGCCATTATTTCAAGCCCTAGCTCTTGGCACGTTGTAGATGCAGATAACTCTGTGCTTTGTGACTGCGGTTGTCAATTCAACCACAGAGCATTCAGAGCAGAGAAAGTCTCTGGGGGTTACATGCAAGGGACTTGAGGTTGGGAAAAAGGCTTTGACAAAATGAAGGAGAAAGACGAAGGGTATCCCAGATGAGAGAAACAAATTAAATAAATGAACTCAGGTGGAAGTTTTGAGGGCAATGTAAAGAAACCAGGCTGTCTGTATTGAATTGTATTAAAACACGGAATGAGAAAAGCAAGATTATGAGGTCTTTGATGTTAAGACGTCAATTGGTCCATATTTCATAAAATAAGATCAGCCTCCTGACCT